CCTTGGCCTTCCTTCCATGAAAGAAACATCGCATCATGTTGACCCAAATGTCCATGGAATTGCGTTGCTGCTTCCGACCGCTGAACCGGTAGAAAGCGCTTCTTCCCTGCGGGTTTGGCGTTGCAGTTGAGGCGCTTTATGGTCTTTGGCTTGCAGGCTGACAGCTTGCTGGTCCAACTGGATATCCATGAGGCGACATTAGGGTTTAGGGGTGTGAACATGGGGCGAATGTGCTTTGGGGTGGTGGTTAGAGGTCAAGGGTGAAAGTGGGTGTGACAAGGGATGTTCATAGCGGGTCAGGGGCCTGCGTGTGGAAACACCCTGGTCGCAGCTAGTTTTATTGCAGGAAGCCCAGGCTTGACACTAGACTAAGCAGTCTTCCTTTGGTGATCACCACCCATGGAGCCCTTGTTGGTGGTTCGTGGACATGAAGCTCCACTAACAGGCAGCACGACACATGGCTTGCATTGGAGAAAGATGAGAGCGGAGTGCCGACATCTCTACGAGAACTCCCAGCAAATATTGAGCTCCCAGTCCCAGGCTGGCCCAATAGCGGGCTACGCCCCGGAAACATCTTGTCGTGTTATACTCATGAGTGGGAGAAAGAAAAAACTGAGTGCCAACTTGTAATTGTACTCATGCAACGGTTACCGGGCCCTATGCCAACCCAGTTCTACTAGTAGAGTCAAATTTGATTCTCTCAACCTCAGAATCCCTCACTCAAGAATCAGGGCCGTCGGCTTGCTCACCACCTGGTGGATCCAGCAGCTTGGCGGTTGCGACCAAAGGTGGTAGTTTCGCACATGAAAGCCTATATGTAGCTTCTAAGGAGGCACTTGGAAACCCATTGAGAGAGATGTATTGTTTCTTTTCCTCCTCCTGCTCCCCGTTTTCAGATTCCTGAGTGGTGCCATCTCGCTTCAACACCCATGGAAATTCTAGAAAGGGCAATAACATGCAGGTTTCAGGATAACAAGGCTCTTTTCTGGCACGGAACTTGGAGGCCAGCTTTTGCAACTACCTGAGTTATTATAACAAGAACAAGAGCCATGACGGGAAGACTGTATGCCAGTGAAGAAGTGCTTCACATGAAACCAATTTAAACAGTGGAACACTGTCGGAAGTCTCCAGTGGTACCTACACTGATGCATGGCAAGTACAGACGTTTGTGGATCCAAGCTGTCCTCACCGAGGATTGGTGGCTCCTGGTCCAGGTTCGGGAATTGGACAATCTTGGGCATGTTGAGTCAACAATCATGTTGACATGTTAGTGCAGAATACATCATTTCCGTATCTCTTGGGGAAGCTGTGTTTTGGACCGAGCTTCTTGGTATTTTGGGTCCTCTTTATGTGCGACGAATGAAGTAGATATTTGGAAATGAGTTGAAGCTGGATTTGGGCGTGGGAGGCGGTCCTGGTCCTGATTCCCAACCATTGCAACTATATAATGTTGAATTGGACGATAGTATCAATAGTGCACCACTTGGAATCAAGCGCAGCACCTTCAACGTCACTTTTTTCTTCCAGTTCCAAGACTGCTGGTGAGCAAAGGCATCCAGGAAATCAGATAGATGTTGCTGCGGGTATCCAGGTTAGATTTCTTGAACATTATGTGTGTGCGTGTGCCTTTGCCCTGTACTGCCATTGAAGGTCATGTTCAAGCAATTTTGCTTGCAGATATATAAAGAAGAACCAAGTTCCTTGGGTAAGCTTCTATTTTTGAGCATGACTCAGACATTAGCCAATCAAGTTTACAGTTGCTTTGACCTCCAGTGTTCAGGACTCGTGGGAATCTGCAGATGAAAGCACTTGGAGGATTTGGGCGACTGTGTAGAATCTTGAGTGGCCAGGTGGCTTCCTCTCCCAAAAGGAGTGGGGTGGGCACTGTGTTTCATTAATTCTTCTTCAGTTGCGGCCAGAAAACAGGGGATGAGTTGAACGTCTTTGGTTGCCCTCAGAGGCAAGGGCTTGGCAGAACCCCAAGAGGCCCACCATTTGCAGCCAAGTACAGGCAGTGGCTCCGGATCAGATGGACTTGCTACAGCACTACGGCGCTTCTTTGAAGAGGTTGCCCTATGATGAGGCCTAGCCCTTTGCGGTGTCGGCCCAGATTGAAGCCGATAGAATCCGATAGAAGCTGGACCATGTAATTAATCATTGACCATAAAAGGGCGATGGCAACGGCGGTGACTTTCGCTCCGCGGTGCGCCGCGCTTACGTAGCGCCGCGGCACTTTGAGCGGCGCCAGGCTGGCTGCTGGAATCTGGAGCAATGCCTCTCCGCGGATTTTGCGCCGTTCCTCCACAACGTAGGGGATCTCGGAGGCTCAGCCCGGCCCAGCTGGCAGAAACAAGGTACAAGGCCCAGACTTTTGCAAGGTGGGCCATGCATGGTGACTTTCCGGTCGTTACACCATGCACCCCATTGCACTCCATTTGCACCATTCCAGTTGCCAAGACGGTTAGCTGTTCTGCTTGCGAACGTCGTCTGATTCAGATCTCCGAGGTCCGCCTGCCAAGTCCGAACGGGCCCAGAAACTCAAGTCCCGACGGGACGAGGACTTCGTCGCCGTGGCCGTGTGGTGCCGTGTTTTTCGCGCAAGGAATTGGACTTCACCGATTGGCTTTACTGACTTTGTCTGACTTTCACACAGAAGTCCCGTGAGGGTAGGCCTGATAGCGTTGTCATCAGGAAGTTCAGAGTAGTTAAGCTCCCCTATCAGATAGGAGTTTGCTTGAACTATCGGGTAGGCCCTTCCATGCGGAAAGTCCGTCCGGTCCTTCCATGGACGCCTCATCCCAGGCTCGCAGCAGCGCCCGTGCTCCCAGCTCGGGCAACGCACTTCACACCCAAGGCGCCTGGAAGCCCAGCGGTGACCGTCGCTGGTGACCCGAGTGGTGAGACCATCGCGGTTTTGTCCCGGTAGAAAATGGATGATGTCGTATGGCGTATGGAGAGTCGTGTGGAGTATAAGGTGTTTCACGCATTGCCTTAAACATGTTACATTATGTTATACATTTAAGTTTGGCGGCTCAGTCCTCGACGATTTTGAAGGGCAAACGCAAGTATTCTTGCAGAAATGCTACGCTTTGGACTGGGCCAGCTTGACTTTGACGCTGCATGTTTGCGCTGCAGAATTGAATTGTATAATTCAACATTCCTGCTGTAGTACATACTTCAGTCTTTGCCGGGCACCTCTTAACTGTACTTCAGACTCAATGCATTGAGCTCCTGACGTGCCTGCGAGCAGGTTTTGATAACTCTTACTTCAGGTGCACCCTGGCAATCATTATATAGAGGAAAAGAAACATGTGATGATCACTGTACTGTGCCACTAAATCCGGCGCTAAACAATCACCTCGAAACGTGTTATCGTAGCCCAAGCTCCCTTCAGTTGAACGACGTTTTTAACATCTCGAGACCTGGAATGAAACTCAGTCTCAACAGGCAGAACTTCTCAGTCTGAAAAGGCCGGTGTCCATCCACAAATGGGTGTGCAGTGGTGTGCCCAATGAATTCAATTGACTCACCCAGGTTGGGCTTCCTTCGTCGGGTGCTCGGGAGAATGTCTGGGTGAACGGAGTCCAGCTACAGCCTTTGTGAGCTGGGAGAAGACAGAGTCAGGAAACCGTGCGTGAGGACACAAAATCGTCCGAGTCAGGAAACCTTTTCTGGTCAGAGTCAGGGACGGAAACCATTGAACAAGAGCAAGCAGGAAAACCTCCGCCTTCAGCGTGCCCTGTGCTCGGGTGGCCATCCTGATTTGAACACCGGCCCAAGAAGTCGCGCTGCGTGAACAACTGGCCTCACCGGATTCCTGGGGGATGCCGCTGATGTGAACTGCGGCTCTCGAGCCAAGGAGAGCTGGGGGTGACGATGGCCGTGGACAGTCGCACCTTAATCGACAGGTGGCCGCGGGACCTGGGACGAGCGGTGGGTCGAGCCGGTGGCCGGAGCCAGACCTGAAAGGCAACAGGAATCTTCCCAAAAGATGTAGTGATAAGACCTTGGGCCATTGGCCTTGAATCGATGATCCAAAGAAGAAACGCGAAATGACTGGCCAAATGACTGGCCGACTGGCAGCTCCAAAAGTCTACACTCTACGAGGGTGGCTGCTATAGACATACTGCATACTCCAATATTATATTCAATTATTGATCATTAATTAGAATAATATAGAATAATTAGACGGTTTATTCTGTTTTGTCATAGTATAGGTAAAGATTCCACAATACGATCCTTGGAGTTGCCTACGATGGGTACTGCTGGGGTTGCTGATCTCAGTCCCAGTCGGGCGGGCGCAGGTGTTTGAAGCCGATGCTGGAGCAGCACACGCCCCAGGTTCTCAGCGGACCCGGTGATCTCAGCGGAGTGATTTCAGAGGTTCGATGACACTGGCACCCTGGCACCGCCAGTTGAACATCGCTGCTTAGCAAACCTCACAACGAGGAATGATATTTTTCATGAGATCCAGGTGGATACAGGTTGACCCTTTTTGAGGATTGTGGTTGTTGTTGTCGTTGTTGTTATTGCCAATTTGTTTCTCATTGTTGTTCTTCTTGTTCTTGGAGGTGGCCGCTTGATTCTTGCGAATCTTGAGGCAACTGTTTTGGCTGGCAAAATAGATGGGACGATTTTGGGTTGCACAAAGTAGTTAAGTTATAGTTCTTATCAATCGTTTTGGTTGAATTTTGGAGGTGCGGTTCTCTGAGGATTTGTCGCTGTTCTCAGCTCCTGGCGATGGCTCATTTGTGGCTCAAGACAGGAAGAGCAAGGAGAGGGGCATTATTATATGTTCATGCAGCACTGTAAGACACCCATACAGGCGTTGGGATATGCACTGCCCGTTCAACCCAAGGAAGCCAAGATGGGACTAGAAGCAAGACACGTTTGTCATTTTGATCAGCGAGTTGGAACTAAACATGCAAGAGAATGATTATGGCCCAGATCCCCGACATTCAAGGGCGACAGCAAGAGCAAAACATGTGTCAAAAAACGCACAGTGGCGCCATTGGCGCACAGCTCACCGGTTGTTTGGGGTAGTAAGGCAGTGGTGAACTGCTGAAGACCACCCTTGCGACTTGGGGACTTGGGGACTTCACTTCGCCACCTGCCCCCGCATGGAGTAATGGAGTCAGAAGCCGTGCCTCAGCTGAGTCCGATTTGTTCAACACATTGGTCTTTTGCCTTCGAAACGTTCGGCACGAAATCGTGAACTTGTGGCCAACGCGGAAACGCTCGACACGAAATCGGAGCACACACAGGGAGGGCCACCCACCTTTTGGTCCTTGTTCTCGCTCTCTATCTTTTGTGTCGAGGGGGCTTTTCATCGCTCCGTGCCGCTGGGGCAGATGGACTGACAGACAGAGAGAGAGAGGGAGAGAGAGAGAGAGCGAGAGAGGGAGAGAGAGATCATGAGACTGTGGACAGGCAGGATATATACAGGTGACTTGGGACTACCCCTGCGGCGGACAAATGTGGACTTTAGACACCAGATATATATAGCCAAGTTCCTGTGATATTTCAGCTGCTCCATCTTCACTCTAGGCAATTTGGGACCATTTTTTGACGGGTTCGAGGTGGTGGCATTGAAAAGGCTGCAGATATCTGCAGATTGATTTGAAAGGGCCACTCGATTGCAGTATATACTAGTACTTACTGATTATACTGCATTTTGCTGCAGTATCCCTAATCAAGGACCCCATCATCCACAATCTCTCTCTCGCTCTCTCTCTCTCTATATATGTATATACTATAATATATACACCACACATTCGCTTCCACTCCTTGGGCCCACGTGACGACTCTGTCGTCGGCGCCCGGGAGAGGTGGGTCCCTGTCGCATCTGCTGGGATTCGGAGAATGTGGAGGACTTCTTCCAGCCCTGCCTTTGTCGCGGCACGCAGTCGCTCGGTGGGTCTTGGGTGAGACGGATTTGAGGAGGCACGCAAGGCGAAGATCCGACAAGTATATGCGCAGTTGTGATGTCAGTCAGAAGCAGGAATCCAGGGCTTCGTCCTTTTGATGGTGTGGCCTGAAGTTCTTTCTCATTTCATACACCACCCCGAAGACTAACATTTGGTTGATAGAGGAATGCAATCTTCCGGGGTGGGCAATTGTCAGGGTACCGCCTGACCACCGCCCAGCGCCGTCGTTGAAGGCCGAGGGTCCGAAGTGAGTGTAGGAATTGAAGATTCCCCCAAAGACGGTCTGGTTGTATCACCGACTCAGTGTCTCGTGTGTGCAGGCTTCATTGGTCCCTACCCTGAGCAGAAGAATCCTTGTGGTGCATCTTCCACCAATGGGTTGCCCTAGCCCAGCCCCAGCCTTCCAGTTAGCTGGTTGGATTGTCCAACACAGAACTTCGGGGGTGGCCTGACCCACTCAAACGATGTGCATGAAAAGGCAACCTACACCTGGCATCACCCAGCATCACGTAGCAACACCTAGCAACACCTAGCAACCAAAAACCATCCAACACTCCTCCTTAGCATGGCCTTCCTCCTGAGACCAAGCCGCACGGACCATCTCAGCCAGCCCAGGCAGTGGGTGCATCGTTCCTGTTTCGCTCACTGGACGCGAGTGGCGCCCACTGCCGCGCTCTTGTGTCCCACCTGCGGATACCGGTGCCCCAGCTGAGAAGTACGAAAACATCTCTCTCTCTCTCTCTACCTTTTCGGGCGGGATTCTTTGGCATGCCGTTGTGAGGGCTTTTGATGCCTTTTTACTACACTTGCCATGTTTTGCTCCAGTTTCGGGGCATCCTCGGTGGCCGACTGGCATCAATCTTCTGATCAGCCGAAAGGGTCACAACACGCACAAGTTACCCCGTTGGGTAGCATGTGGTGGTTCAATATGGCTCAATGGTGGACAGCCAAACCTTGATCACCAAGCTAATGTTCTCAACCCTTCTAGATGTCGAAAAGCACACCACCACTTCGACAACTCTGAGTGGCTAAAGGTTTTAAAGCTGAGAGCATCTATAGGAAGTTAGAACCACAGTCTGACTGGGCATGGATGCTCAAATCGTTCGAGCCAGGAGCCCCCCGTAGGATTGAAAGATATATGTATCCCGTAACAGTGGATGATTAGGGTTAGTAAAGGCCTTTCCCCACAATACCCCAAAATAGAAAACAGTTACATGTGTACAGGGGTCGTACGCACCAAAAGTGTTATATTGTTGCTGTTTGTCCCTTGCAGAAAGTGTGGACACATGGCCAGCAGCTCCAGCTCCTGATCTCATGACCATCTATGCCAGGTATCGCCGTGGCATCATTAGTTCGTGGCAGGTCCTATTTGTCACGGCCAAGGAGAGCCCTCTCTGCGCCGCAGAGAGCCCCAAGAGTTGCACCACAAAGTCGCAAGAGTCAGTGCAAGAGTCCATGGTCACTAGAGAGAGCATGAAGGTTTTGAGGTGATTAGACATGCGGAGATGATGTTTCTCTTGGGGAATATGTCAAGGTGTTTTGTTCATTATAGTTCAAGGTTGACGCATATTGACGCTGGTGTGTTGCACATGTTTTTGCTTTCGAGAAGTAAATTGACAAAACTAATTGGTTCAATACCCTTGTAATCCCTTGTATATATTGTATGCCCTTATCGTAAGTTTCTTGGATTCCCTTTCTGCAGTGTATACCGTTTTGCTTGACGTGCTCAACCTTGGCTTTGCTTGTCCTTTGGAGCGTTGGCCCACAAACCCCGCACTCTTCAGGAAGCCTCGCGTTGGCTCGCCCTCCTTGTCTATTTCTGCGTCACCCGGACGTGCGCGAGGCGGCCGACTGAGATGCCATCACGGTGTGGACGAAAAGACATTAAAATTATGGCATCAACTCGGAGATACCTACAGAGAGGAGACAAAGAGAGCGAGAGGGAGAGAGAGAGAGAGAGAGTAGTGACACGGGGAGAGTAGACACCCTTGTAACAGAAAGGCTATGGCAATGGCAGAAACTCCTGGCAGCTTGTAGAGAGCGAGTGGGCAATTGCACCACCAAACTGCCTGGTTGGTTTAATTTTCAGTTCTATCTTATCATATCTTATCTCAAGTTGCTCAAAATGATGCACCCAAAGAACCCCCCAAACCACTGGTTTTGTTCTACCAGGCCGTTGCACCGGCTCAAAATGCAGGTAGGTCACGTGCAATGTCATGTTTGCATCACTGTGTTCACTCGTGCAACACTTCTCAAAAAATAGCTTGACGGTTGATTTGTGTGTTTCTCCACCTTCCCGAAGCATAGCGAGTTCGCGTTTGCTTAGCGAACTAACTCGCTCCTGCTTTGCTGCTTTCAGCAGGACGATCTACAAGCATCTCCTCACAGATGCGCGAGATGGGCGGCCCTTTTCCTTCAATCTCTTTTGGCCAGCAGGCTGATCGGGGATCTCGTGCAGATCCACATCAGCGGGTTCGGCCGGAAGAAGAGAGTGGAGAATTCTTTGGGCATGGGATAGAGTCCACACCTCCAGAGGAGGAGCTGTCCTTTCAAGTTCTGTAGCTACAGGATACTGGAAGCTTTTGAGCCCTGGTGCCAGTTGCCTGGGTGAATCCCACAAATACCAACAAATAATGAAGGTTTCGAGGCTATTTGAGGTGAAGGACATTATGTGTTGTTTCTTCGCCCTGGCCCCGGCCTGTTCTATGCCCCACCCGTGGGTGCCATAGCTATGGGCCCATACTTCATGTGCGCTTCGTTCTCCAACGTATGGAAGGACCCTATGAAAAAGACATGTCATGGTCCCATGTTGCTCCTTTCTTTCGCTTCCGAAGGTTCTTGGCCCATCTTCATCTCCATCTAAGGCGCAGGACGCCCCCTGTCCAAGCCCTCATCCTTTTATCACAAAACTAAATTATTGAACAATTGCTCCCTCTCAGCCGCAGCCCTCCTTAATGCTTTTGGCTGATGGTTTGGTCTCAGCACCTTGGCAGCGATGAGGCTGCGAATCGAAGGGGGTAGCAGCCATTCTTCAAGCCCCGCTCAAGATCGGGTACCCGCGGCTGCGGGGTCCCATCGATTACGACGTGTACAAACCCACGGAAGGCTGGCCTCCCAAGAAGACTTCAGTGTTCAACATTTTGAAAAAATGCTCAGTGCTCGTTTTATTAAAACTTATTAAGAAGTGCGCGTTTCATCAAAAAAACGCTACGAAGCTCCAAAAAGTGCCCATTTCCTTGGTTCGCCAGAAAAAAAGCTACGATTGAAGGTTCAGGTATAATACATAGTTATATATTGCCATCATTGCAGATAGTTAAACAATTGCCAGGGCCGGGGCTGGCATCCGTTTTCGGGTTCCCTGTTTTTACATGTCTGGCACCATGATTGGTCCTAGTCATTTACATATTGTGCACTTCCAACTTGATCCAGTCCCTGACGAAAAACCTCACGAAACCTGACGAAAAAAAACAAAAAAGATATTAAAAAACAAAACATCTCTCTTCCCACGGCGGGTGCCACGCTTTGAGGCCTTGAGCGTGACCTTGAAACGCCTGGTGCGCGCGCGGCGGATTCGTTTGCCGCTGCTGTTTCCGCCGCCGGTGCAGATCCCGGAGGCCACGCAGGAGTTCGCCATGCAGACACCCGGTGAAGATTGAAGAACAGTGAGGGATTGTGGGAGTGTTCTATAGCCAGAAGGGGGAGAGATGAAAAGCGGCAGAAGTGTGATAGATGGAATGATTGACCAGAACTTTGCTAAAAAGATTGCCAATCGGTTGACTGCCAGATTTCATTGTAGGAATCAATTTGGAGTGAAGTCACCTCAGTGCATACCAGTTGCCTGCACGGCCTCAGAGTTTTGGAGATTTGTATGCCTCCGACGAGTTTTGCAGAAGGATCTCAATTTGGGGCTCCCCAGAACTTAAGCTTCGATGGCCAGGGATGGAACCTCCTTTCATGGGCGGGCCACGTTTGAGACGCATCTTCTGGTCGCTGGTGCAGAAAACCCAAAGCCTTATCCAATGTGACCCTCGACGAGTCTGGAGTTTTTGTCAGACGGCTCAAAGTGTTGAGTCATGCCCGCAAGAGAGCGAGCGAGAGAGAGAGAGAGAGCAGGACGGACTCGTAGAGCGCACGTTCGGCCTGCTGGGGAGCACACCAATGCCCATGCTCCCATGGTCGACGGCCCTCTGAGGCTTTTTTGCGCATCCACCTTGAGACTGGGTGAGGTGCTCCTGATCCTCCGACGCCGCACGGGTACTGCAGCTGCTGTGCGAGGTCTCTTTGATTGGATGGTGAACGTCTATGCCACTGGGATACAGGAGTGGAAGGTGGGCATGTGGAGCCACAACAAGTCACAGGATACTAGTAGAACTAGAACCCCACAACATCCCCAAACTATCGATTTGTATATAAAGTTAGCTTGCCTAGCAGGGCTAGCCGTAAGCCTTCTACCAAACTCCTCAGCTGGGGGTGACCGGTGACCAGCGAAGGCTACAAGAGCGACCCGACTTGTTCGGGCACCGTATTCGCTGCATCTCCCCCAACCTGGCTGCATCGCCCGGGCTCTCTCCCAGTCCCCAAAGCCTGGGCATTTGCGATGGCAATCACCGGTAGTTGTTGGGCCTGGCGACGGGAGAGGCCACGCGCAAAAAGGTGCAAAAACGGCATGATTCAACATGCACATTGAGGACGGACATGTTTTCAACTCCTCTCCAAACAAGAAAGTGGAACTTAGACTTAGATATAATTTTAGGACCTCCATCTCTATGGAACTCGGAGCTCAGGCCATCCTGTATTTGCTCCAAGAGCTGCTTCTGAGCGCACAACGCTGTGCCAGAGACAGCACCCTGGCAAGACATGATCAATTTTTTTGGAGGTCGGATGAGGTCAGCAGGTCACGGGAGAATGATCCTCAGCATTGCATCGTTGATGTTGTCATCCCCCAACAGCCGACCATGGCGGCCATTGCGGTAGCCACGTGTGGTCACCTGTCAGAACACGCCTGGCGGACCCAACGGATGGTGTTTCATACCCCTCTTAATGTTATTGGAAATAGTCAACTCCCCTTCCCCGACCAAATCACTGAGAGAGACCGAATAGAGATAGCCCCCACAGACACTCCTCACATGGTAGTATAGTAGTCCTCGTCCTAGCAGTAGGAGTGGCAGTAGCGGTGACAGTGATGCCAGCAGCAAAAGCTAAACAGACGCTAAGAAAGGATCTTAAAGGCAACCAACAGCCCAACAGCATAGCGAGCTCAGCTGAAACCAAATCAAGTAAACACACTTGATTACTGTAATGGTTTCTTTATGTTTCTTTAAGTTATAACCGAAGGAAAGACGTGGTATCATTCCCACCGCTATATGACCATTCAGGGCTTGAGAATCTGTTGCGAGAACTTCCCGACGTGGCCGCTGCCTGGCCACCTGGCCGCTTGCCACCCCAGAACCGGTCTCTCGACCCCGGGGGTATGATGAGTTGAGTCACTTTGAGGTACTCAAGTCTTGGCCTTCAAGACCTGCTGAGACCGGTGAAGCACCGGCCTCCGGCTCGAAAGGGTGACTGGGTGAATTCCTTTTTCGAGCGTAGCCCCCAGGTGTCGATGAGCTGGCTCAGCTCTTGCTGTATTCTTGTGAGGGCATATGATTGCATCAAGGTCATGATAGACTAGCCTGGGGGCATCCCCCTAACATCCGCTCGCCTCTATTGATGGAGCGGAGGCCAGGCCAGGGCCGGTTGCTGTAGTTGCCGGTAGTTCGATGACCAAAATGGACATCATCTCTTTCGCTGGGCGTGGATTCAGTCCTAATCCTTTGACATTTGTTGCAGAGTCGCAAAGCATTGGATGCATTGGTTTTATTCCCTTTTAAGATCTTTTAAGTAACTCTTCCTGTTTTCAAGGTGATGGACATGTATGATTCATGTATGGGGACATGTGACATGCCAAAGGCACTCCACTTTCCAGAGCATAACAAATAGGAATGTATAGGATGGGACTTTGTTCACCGCTTTCCTGGGAGAGCCGCTCGCTGGGCGGAGCCGCGGGATTGGTCGACGTCGACACGTGCTAGACAGGGAAACAACGTGCCACTTTGAAGTTGGGGTGGTTGACTGTTGTGGAGCTTTGTGGCCCTCTATGGCCCTCCAATGCTGAGATAGGCTGTCGCTTGAATAGACATAATTATATACATCAAAAAAGCTTGAGCGAGTTAGTGAAACTGGGCTTGTTTCAGCCAGATCGAGTGCACTCTGACCACTCCTATTCTTGCTTTCAGGAGAACAGTTCTGCACAGGCCACAGGAACAACCAACACTCCACACTCCATATTCCTCCGCCACACCAGAAGACATGGAGTGGTTTGTAGGGAGCAGCCAAATTGGGACTCCAAATTCTCTAAATCCCTGTTGCTCAGGGAGTCCCCCAAAAGGCAGCTCCAACCCGCCCCGCCCTCTTTGCGGCCCCAACTCGGGTCCTCGGGGCGGTGCACCACCGAGGCTCGACCTCGCGAAGCCCCTGGATTCCCTGCCGAACGTCTCCCGCGTCGGGATGACTAGCAGGGGGTCAGCTGGAGGGCCTCAACTGTGTAGCTCGCAGGGTCAGCTGAAGGGCCTCAACATGCCTCAACTGAGCAATAATCAACAATCAATCTTTGATGAGATTTTCTTGCGGAACCGCATCTCTCAAACCTTGTCAGAATCCACTCATCACCACATTATTTCTTTGGATTTGTTACAGAAACATCGCAGAAACAACATAACAATCCCATCCCACCTCCTACCTCATAGATTCTCGAAGTGGGTCAGCATTGACATGCATTGACAATGCTCTGAGAGCAGACCTTTGAGGTCTATGCCGCTTTGGTGCACGTGGAGGAGGAGCTCCTACCAGAGCTGAGCAAGAGGACATGCTGAGAGCGGCTCAGAGGGTAAAGCGGGTTTTGACGAGCAGCTGCTGCTGGATTGTAGGAACCTTACATGGTAATAATATTATGTATAGAGAGAGAGAGGGGCAAACTTTGACCCGTCACTCAGTGGAGGGACACGCAGGCACACAATTTCAGTATCGTTGAGACCTTGGATGCCAACACCTTGCCGCATTTGGCTCGTGGTGAGGGGGTGGTTTGGCTTGAAAAAGGGGCCTGAAGTCCAATGCAAAGTCGAATAAATGTTTCTATTTTGGCGGGGCAAGAGATGATGCCATAGCAAAGAACCAGGCACTGGCACAAGCATCCAACGCAGCAGCACCTCCATTGCGATGCATGTCGAGAAATCCATAGCACCGGCATCCGACTACAACATCTATCCAAGCATCACCGCACAACCATCCCTTTTGCCAAGCCTGCTTGTACATGTAAGCATTTGTTTGAAGCTTTTGGTACAGGTCGCCGTCTTCTTCGGCTCGAAGAACCGGAGGCGAAGAACGCATGTTCGACACCGTGGAGGTCCGATGGCCCTCGCATCCCTTCCTTTGGCATCGCGCGCGGCTGTGGGACCTCCACGAGGTCCCTGGCAGCGGCACCTGCGTGGCCTGCGACACTGGGGACCGAAGTCTCACACAGCCCAGCTTCCCGGTGCAGGCACGGGGCTCCCCCACGTAGCGACTCGATGGACCGAGGACGTGGTTATTGGATGGGCTCGTGCCCAGCACCATGAAAGGGGTGGTCATTGGATGGGCACATAGTCAGGGGTGTCCATAAACCACCCTTTTTGTGGGCACGTAGGCAATGAGTTAAAGAACGAAGAGATTCATCGTTTCTTCAATTCGAGTTGGGAGGATCGGGAGGTGCAATCTCGAGATGTCACCAGCCACAGGTGTTGAGTAGACGTAGAGAGGTTCTTTCCAGGGAGGGCATCTCGTCATTGCCTTGCAAGCTGAAGCTTGCCTTTGAAGCCATCAGAGAATGGGCTTGTGTGAGATGACTTCGAACTGTGGCTTTCCCTGGTTTCTTTCTGTAGCATGTCAAGTCCATGGCTTGGTTTGTTGAAGCCATTGTTTGGCATCGTCAGGATGTGCGTCTCCCACCTCCAGCAGATGCAGACCTCACTGGCTTTGATCCTCAGCCCGGAGAACTAGCGACTGGGCGGCCTTTTTGGAGCACGCACGGCCGGCGAGCATGTGGCCGTGCAACGGCCGAAAATAGCAATGCAAGGGCGGAAGTTCTGGGTTCAAGAGTAAGGCTCATTTTGTTCATGTTGAGATGGGCCAGGTGGCAAGCCTGGAATTGAGCTGCATTTCCAGTTGACGCAAGCTAGCTGACGCAACCATGGGCTATGGCTTCCTTTCTAAATGGTTTCTTCAAGGATGCGAACGACTCCTTGACGCCGTATGCCTCGATGTTTCGGCTCAGGTGGAGTACGAGGTTTTGCCCACCGACACCACGCCTGCTGGGTGGGCGGTGGCTCAGGCAGGCTCAGTCGTCCCCGCGGGTCCTGGGGGCTTCGGAAGGGAACTCTACTCTATTGCCCGCCCATGTCACAACTCAAACACCTCGGCGATTGAACTGGCTGAGTGGGACGCTTTGGTGGACCAAACCATCCATTTGGGCCCACGGAGCTTGACCAAGCATCCTGGGAATGGGTGAAATGTGGGACCTGCAGGGTGAAACTCGTTTCAAGGCGCCAGACATGTGTCAAATAACCAGGAGTCACAAGACGGGGTGCCGAACTTGGAGGATAGGGGTGCCCATCATCCACTCACTTAGGCCCAAGAACCACCCCTTGGTGACTGGAAGAAGGACATTCAGGGAATTGCCCTATCTGAAGAAACTGAAGCGTCACCCAAAAACACCGCTCCCCAGGTGGTGGCGGTGTCCGGCCGCTTTTGGCAGCTCAGATGGCCAGAACGTTGGGGCGAACGGATGGGTGAGGTCTTGATGCCGCTGGGCTAAGCACAGCTTGAGTGGGTCGGGAACCATGGGCACAGACAAGGTGGCTTTTCATGAAATTGGTGGGTTTGGCTTCAGGGTTTCCAGAGATGATCCGGGTTGCAGCTGTGGGTGTTGATATGTCGCCTCTGAGTACGATACTTTGCGCCCCTTGAATCAAGGAACCTCCACCAAAAACACCGGCTTTACACGCAGTTTTCTCCTTGATGGTAGACCTCCCAAGGCCTTTGTCACGCTTGAGACCCTGCGTCTCCCCGAAGGGCAACGTGGAGAATTTGTTGCGGAAAGAGGAGGCATGGAGTCGGAGTGTTCTTCAGCTGTTCGGTTCACCAACGGAGTGTTCCAGGACGGACCTTCAAGAGCGGGAGGTGTGGAGGAAATCCATGGGTGATGTGGACTCTTACACAAGATGACCTTTGAAATCCACATGGAGCCCACATGGAGTCCACAATACGACCTTGGAGTTGGTTACACATGGTTACACCATATAGCGGGAGGCGTACGGAATGCCAAACATACAAGCTATCAAGATGACCTTGGCCACTACGGCATAGACCCCATAGAACCCAAAGTGAGTGACCCTCAAGATATGCTTTAGCCTTTGGACCCCTTTTCAGCCTTTTGATGACCAGTGCTGCTTCTTGGGGTTGGAATCCATTGCTTTAAGGGGCCTTCTTTTTGGAAGAAGGGCAGGGCTCGACACATGTCGGCAGGAAAATCACATGGCTTTCGGCCTGTGGTAGTTCAGCTCAGCTAAACGGTGGCTCTTCAGCGTACCAACAAGGACAGTTCCAGAAACGATGAAGGTCGGCCCGGTTGATCACAGACTCCACATTCCACCAGAGGATTCCCAGTTCCCTCACAGCTGTGGAGTGGTATGGTGGCTCTGCAGCGGGTGGGACGGTTCTTATGACCTGGGATGTTTCAGCTTGATTCGAAACTGGGTGTGTCTAGTCTACCAGTAGCCGTTGGTAGAAGATGATCGCACACGATCAGTATAATACTGCAATGATTATATAATGATCATTACAGTAATATTCGGGAAAGGCCTTGACCAACCATCATCATCCACTGTTACAGGTAGTCGGATATGGTTTATACCCAAATTTGAATGAGCTATTGGACAAAGGACACAGCGTTGGCTTCCCGTTCCCGCCATTCCCTACCCCAGCATTGACATTTCAATTGGTTTGCGGAAGGCAAGGCCGCACGTCCAAGTCAACTGCCAAGATCCCACATGGAACATAGACCCTTTGGCTGGTGGCCGGAGCAAACCGTTGTGTCACTTGGGTCGGCTGTCCACCGGCACTCCATGTTCCCAGCAGGTCGTGGTAGACCGGGAGTTGTTGGCCGAAGACACCTCCAGCTGCTTCCGGCGCGTCGAAAGCCTGGCGGTTGGTGCCTAGTTGAACAGACAAATCGGCCGATCATGCGGCGCTTGGGAGGTGGATGTTGCACGTAATAGTAGTATGAGGTAGTGTATACCGCTTTCGATTCATGAACCCCCTCCCATTTGGAGGGTAAGACCATTGGTAAAACCTCTTCGTAATCTTCACATGGGGGGGCATATTGTTTAATCGAGGGCCTGCATTACATAAATCTTTGTATAGTAAATTTCTACATTCGGAAGATTACCCCTCAGAGTCTCAGGGTCTAAGGATAACTTGTCTTGTGAAAGATGTGAATGTGAAACATGACCTGAGTATATAGATGTCCCTAAAACGCCTCCGGTGAACGTGTGACCAGTGGCCTTTCTTTATTCAAACCCTGGGTCGATGATGATCCGAGAGACATGGTCAAGAGGGCTACACCAAGTTCCACAAGAAAATGATGAACTTCAAAATAATTCTATATACGAGTCAATGAGTGGTAGTTGGATGTAGTTGCTGCAAACAATCATACCTAGAACCTCTTCTTGGGCAGAAATGTTTGCCTATTATGGGTAAAGTCGGCTTTGCCCGTGCTTAGGCGTTCTTGCCCCCTGTAGGCGTTCTTGTCCCCTCTAGGCGTTCTTGTCCTTTTGGTGGCATTGCTCAAACAGATGAGGATCCACCCGCCACTGGTTCATGGAACTTCCATAGTGAGGTACATTTGTTTATTGTGGATTCACTTGATGTTTCTCTTTTGTATGGTTTAGTTTTCTAGGCTAGGTTTTCTTTATCATTGTTTAAATGGGCTTTAATATATTTTGGCGTAAGTGTTCTTCCCGGCACTTAGGCGTTCTTACCCGTTCCCCCCTCACTACAATCCGTAGTTGGGGGACAACTGAATAGCCTTCTGGGAGGGAGTGAGAGACATGAGTTTCAAATACTTTAGACTTGGAATTAGCGTCAGGTGGCAAGCGTTGGTTTTTTCAAAAGCTTGTTCATTCAAATTCTGGCTCTGCCGTTTGCATGTGATTGTGCCTCGGCGTTTGTGACCCTCGAGGCTGCAGCTTAGGCATTCTTTGCAAAAACGGGCTGAATGTTCGGCGTAAATGGCGTTGGGCGGAAATTCTTGCCCAATGACTTGCCCAATGAGTCTCTGAGGTTCTAGGTATCTCATGATGTGCGAAAGGTTGCTGAAGACTGCCTTGGTGGGAACTCCGATCAGACTCCGAAGACGACCATCGCAAGGCATCGCACGCGACTCGGTTTGCCCCAGGTCTACAGGCGCAGGAGACCACCGAGCTCTTGCGCATCCGAAAGGCCACGGGGTGAGCAGATCTGAGGCATCCCAGTTTGATGGTGACTCCGAAGTAGGAAGGATGATGAAGGTCAAGTTTGAGAACTGGCCATGGAACATCAAGATGCCCAAGACCCTGGGATTTACACTGACAAATGTCAATCATGTGTTATTTGCTTGCTAATCTTGCTATCAGTTAGGATTTGCTTTCGGATGTCCTTCCATTCGTACCGGTGAATCCTCCGATCTGAGTGCACTTCGTGGTCCGGGTGCTCGTGGTCCAACCGAATCCCTTCGGCTCCCGGTCCCCACCAGGTGACCCTAGAGCCGAAGATCCTCGCCATCGGCACCGTGAAGGCTGTTCAGCGGGTGCCCTTGGCGACGTGAAGGGCGGACGTGGGGACAGACACCGGTCTGGACATGGGCGTTTTTTGGGGGATCTATGTCATGTGGGGCATATGGGATTTGTGGGACATATGGGTGTTGCATATGGGTGTTGTGATCTATTTCTTGTGGGGCACTTCTCTCTGCAGCTGTTGGGAATGGCTGCAAGAGCAGTGAGCAGTTTTGCAGGGTAGAATTTTTGGAGCAAGGCTTTCCCTGAGTCTCTGCGTGTCAGACCAGCATCTCTCGTGCAATCGTGCAAATGGCGGGTTTGGGTCCATGGGAGCCCAGTAAACCAGCAATTTCAGCGAATAAAATATATAACCTAAGCCCGTCCAACTCAACAATGAACAAATGCACAAAGCTCGGGTCCCAATGATGCTATTGTAAAGTCCTTTTTTTGGGGGGGGGGCTTGGGCAGGGTAGAGAAACCTCAGGAAACTGCAAGAGCCAGCACACCAGCAACTTCAGCAAGCAACATCACAGCCCAGCCAATCCATCCCTCCTGCTTGAGGAGAAACACGCCTCGCAGCTTTGGGATCTTGAATTTATGGCAACTTTCGATTATCTTACAATGCGTGGCTACCATAGTGCATGTTGGTTACCACATACTACCACAAACTATTGATTCATGTTGAGAGGTCATATTGTTTTTTTCTTGGCTTCCTATGATTTCATTGTGTTTTGTTTATGTTCATTTTACCTTGGCTACTCTGATTCTATTTCATTTTGAGAGGTCCCAACCCCTTGTTCGATCATATAGACCGGCTATATGTTGGTTGGATCCAAATATTTCCCATTGGTTGGTTTTCAACATCAAGTACAGCATGTTCAATCATTCAATATCATTCAACTGGACAGCTTTCAAGGCCAAGATCCTGATTCCCTCCATGCTGCACAACCACCGGAAGGCCAACAACCTGCAGGAGAGGTCGCAGTTTTCTTGCCTGAAGTCTCCGATCCCATGGAACATTCAGAAGTGTGACGTAATGTAGATAAAATGTGCAATATATATATATATAGAGAATTATAATTATATAGGTATAGATGCACGCCACATTGATTTACTTGGTGTGTTTTTTCCGGCACATGTTTCAGACTCAATGGAACCCGAGCCCTGCCTTCTGTTGGACCCAAGACGCCGCATTCGCTCACGTCGGTCGCCCGGTTCGCCTCGGATCGCCTGCGAGGGGGGTCGCAGGAGGCCACGAAGAAAAGGGAACAAGCCCTGGCGATGCGAAGCATGAAGAAGCTCCGCGATGCTTGGAATCCCAAGGAGGTTCCAGACAGCTTAGTGCCTTGGATTTTTGCTGGGTTCCAGACAGCTTTGGCCTGTTGTGCCTCGGAGGTTCTCGTTGGTTGCTTTTTGGTTTGGTCAGACCTTTTTGGGATGGTCTTGCGGTGTTAGGGGATGAAGGCTTCTGATGAAGTTGAGTTGCAGCTGACACTCATTTCACAATATAGGTAACTATTATTACATGGGTTTTGGACGCCATTTGTGGAAGGAAAAGCATCAAGAAACCCCATTTTGCAGTGTGCATTTGTCAGAGCTTTGGTAGCTCTTTTGGGAGGTATTGTTTGAGCTGCTATAGTGCGTAGAAGCTTCAACACCCCATTTCTGTGGAGAAAGAGTCTTGAGCGACCTCCAAATTTGTCAGGAAAGGTGGTGACCCCAATTGATTCACCTGGCCTGTCAGGTAAAGGATGAGTTTATGATGGATAGCCTACATGTGGGCCGCTTGATTGGGAAAGGTGGCAGCAACATCCGAGCCTTGCAGAATGAGTTAGATGTGAAGATCTGCATTTTTGACAAGGATGAGAAGAAGACGCTCGGCCAAGGAAGGCATGTGATGCGTTTGGGCATTGCGTTTTGGGTCACGTTTCGTCGCGTTTCGAACTCGGAGTTCCGAGGTTGGACCTGGACCGTTTGGGCAGTGCATCCATGCATATCCATGCTTAGCTGCTTGTTGGGGGTGGTCAAGGTTAGAGTTTTGGGCGGCTTTCATGACCCTCTGGGAACTTCTCCACCTCTTCCTTGAGCAAGGCCAAAGCTAATATAATTATAATAGTTTGTCTAGTTCTTGGTGGTGGATTTTTCGATATGCCTCGCTGTTTGGAAGTAGTGGAGTTGTTTTCATCTTTGAATTTATATAGTCATCCAGCAGCCCGTGTCCATCCTGTTACCGAGCCTCCAATCCTTGAGCAGGACTGAGTTTGAGGCCGAGAAATATGAAGGTCGGGTCAAAACCAGGATACCTTGGTGACCTACCCGGCGGTCCTCGCGACGGCCTGTGCGCCAAACGGCCTCACGCCTCTTCAACTCCGCTGGGCACGTGGGAGTGGTGATGAATGTCTACTACTGGTGATGGACATACAAAGAAAACGGTACGCAGGACCAAGTCCTGAAAAGTGAGAAAGAAGCCTACACGATAACATATGAAACCAAATCTCCGCTGCAGTACGTATATATGTGTGCACAAAAACCTTCACTTGGATGACCTACCTGGAGACAGGTCACCATAGTTGGATTGCTGCCTTGGGGTTCACCAGCTGTCCAACACAAGGCCAACCTTCCATTTTTGGTTCGCACCAATCCTGTTCATCCGCTTCGCAACTCTTCGCCAACCGGCGTGAGGAAGTCCATCGTGGTATTGGGTCCCGACAAGGACAAGGTCTTTGAGGTACGCAAGAACTCCCAGATTTTGCGGCAGCGGAGGAAACTGGATCCTGAGATGAAGAAATGGGTCACCTCTAGAATCACTTTGCTGGAGACTTGGCTCAATATATCCTATTTAAACTTAAAACATAAGCCAATTGAACTTCCAGGTGCCCAACCATGCATTGGAATGAGAATTTAGGGGAAGTTGCCAACAGTATTTGTGTGCGGAGCTCCATGTGCAGCATCGACCATGTGTTTCCCATTGTTTTCCTCAGTGTAAACACACTTTGGGCATGCCATGGGGTTCCCGATGTAGAGTCTAGAGACCATTGCCGAGCTATAGATATTTTATATATCATACTTTAAGTTATATAATGTCCTGAAAGATTGCCTGGTAAAAGGTACCTGCTAGAGGGTCTAAAGTGGACCCCAATGCAGATCGAAGTGAACGCCACCTAAGGAGATGATCCAGAAGATGTGCGGCCTCAACTCCATCCATTTGGAGGGCCAAAACATCTCTTTGACCGGGACCAAAGAGGCCTGCGAACAAGGCCTCAAATTCCTCGATGCGCAGTTGCAGTCTCTTTGTCACGGACCGATCGGGATGGAGAAACTGTTCACCGATCACGAAGTCATTGCGAAACAGTGTTTGAGCTTTCGGCACAATCGTGCGGATTGTTTGTGTTCATTTCTCAGTGGGGAATTTCTTGTTTTTTTGCTCGGCCATGCTCGGCCCAAGGTACTTCATGATTCTGAAGGCATGGTTGGGGCATTCAGTTGTGATTGTGCTTCCCGAGATGCAACCATGGGCATCGTTAGTTACCGTTAGTTCTCGTATGTGATTATTGATGAGCCACCTGAAAGGCCAAATTGGAGCATACCACCCCCACTCATGCAACAGAAGTTCTGGGTTGGACATTCCTTTGGATCCAAGGTTCTGTGAACCTATACTCCGGGCTGATGGCCCTTGTTTGAACAATTTTCCTCTTACGCGTTAGTTCCTCGGGTTACTCGAGTTCATAGGTGTTCTCAGGCTGGAGGCTGGGAGGGGTCTAATGATCTGAATGGGTAGTCAGACCTCACTGCACCCGCGGCTTGTGATGCCCAACAATACCTGATCAATCCTGTTCATAGCATCACTATTTCAGTAGGCATCCCAGTCATCGAAAGAAGCTTCGATGCGAAATGTGCGAGCTTCGTAGAGTTGCAGCTGCAAGACACTAGCAACATCGCACAACCGGCCACCACACAACGACATTATATATTAGTTGATAGATTCTTGAAACTTCCGCCGTCGGAGCTTACTTGCTGAGTTTCATATCCCTGCCGTGCCGTGGGAGAAAGCAGTGAAGCCAAATCCATCCAAGCCGCCAGAACCAGGCACCATCCAAGCCGCCTGTTGCACCTATGCCTCGCTGCCTTGTAAACTATCATGGGGCACCCTCTCCAAAACCAGCACAGATGGCCATTCCCTATCCAAGAAAACTATGGCGCAGGGTTCTTGCAAGAAGGTGTTCCCAATACACCTCCCACAAAAACTGCAGAGCTTCCACAAGCCGGCCTGATGTCACTGCAGTCGCAAAGCTTGTTTTTGGTTTTGGGGAGTTCTTGCCAGGAGCTGGAGAAGGTGAAAAATGGATATGCTCAACGGGCCCAAGACGACAACCAGATCGTTTGGCCTCCGCGGCCTCAAACCCCAAGATTGAAGAGGACGGATTGACAGACGAGAAGAGGTTGGATTTGACCCCAGATCAGGAAGAGAGCTGCAACAGAAAAGAAACGACCTTTAATGTCAACGTCGGATTAATCAACGCCCCCCCTTCAAGGTCAACAAGGTTTGAGATTGGAGGTGGTGGAGGTCCATGTCACCCTAATACAGATGACGACCTGATGATGGATCATGAGATGATGACCTGGACTTGATGATGGCTGATTAGAAGACAGGATTATTTCTTTGATTGGGATGATTAGGAACAGAAAGAGGTTTACAGGATGAAAGACAAGATGGAGCCCAGAGGGTGGGCTTGATTAATTAATAGAGGGAGGGGCCCTACCATTAGAGGGTGGTAGGGCGTGTGAGGGGTACCCTTTGTGAGCTTGAAAACCTTAAGAGGTTGATAGAGTTTTAATCAGGTAAAATGAACAAATTGTGTTTTAACAGGGAAGGATGAGAAGAAAAAGCAGGATGAACATGATGGATGAGTGGACCAGATTTATTGGATACTGACCAAAATAAACATAAATAATCAGTAATTATAATTGTAATGATAAACAAGTTTATAGTTATTTTCTGGGGCAGCTGGGCTCATTAATGACTTCAGATTTAGATGCCTGAAGCCACAGAGCTAGTTAGATATATATATATATATAGAGATTTGGCATTGTGCAAAGTCAGCGCATGCCCCTTGATCTAATCCTGAAAGACTTTTTGGAGACCTGCCATCGAAGAGCAACGGCAGTGTAGGTGACTTCTTTCTGGAAGGGGAAGGGGTTGCCGTCTTCCACTTCGGACTGCAGAACTGCATCAGTTTTGTTCAGATTCTTGAAGAAACGACCCTTTCCGAGCGACCAGATGCGACAATGGCACACAGGGTTCCACCTCTCTACCTCGCTGTGGAAAGACGTGTCTTTTTTGTAGGAGCCAAAGCCATCAGAAGATTTGGCTGTGAAGGGCGGGGACCTGGATGTCTCACTTGCAACGCTCCAATCAGAAAAGCGCGTGTGTGAGCCAGACAGTTGAGATCAGTTGAGGAAGGCAGTTTGTCATGGCAGTGGGCTCATACACAGAACAGAATTATGGCCGTCGTAGTTCAGTTTTGGTCATCCTTTTCTTATTTGAAACCTCGCTCCGACCTGCTGTTGGAGCTGGTGCCCCTGATTTTTTTCCCAGGATCTTTGTGCCTGGCATGGGCGTGCAAGATGCGGGCAGCTGTATGTACCTCTCCCCCAACTTGGAAGGTTGGCAACTGAGTTTGGAAGCATGGGAGATGTTGGAAGGGTGGGGCATTTATGCCCGTTTCAGTTCAAATCCAGCCTCTTTGGAACATAGTTGATCAACCTTGGGAGCCTGCTTTCCTTTCTTGGTGCTTGTGTATAGGTCCATAGACACCTTCCTAGAGCTCCAGTCAAAACTACACACAGGATGGTTAGAGGTCTTACCTTTGGTGACCCTTCAGAGTGTTGCATGTGGATTGCAATAGTGCTGCTTGTACAGTGCAAAACTTCGACAACAGCTGCATAGACGCAGTGTACAGTGTAGAGTCTCTTGAGCATGTACGGTAATGTGTTTGAATGATCACTGTATAAACATAAATATATAATATTTATGTGTGTATACTTGGTTGCGATATATATATATATACATCTATCTATCTATCTATCTATCTATTTATATGTATGTACACAAATGTGTGTGTAGCAAGTAGCAGTTCAAGTTGGGCTCAGAAACATGCTGTGTGTTCCCCTTTCGCATGTCTTGATGCTGTGTGCGTGTCTCGCGCCACAAGCTTTGTGTCTCCCAGTGCCTCCCGTTCCGGCCGCCGGTCTTCGTTTGTACAACAGGAATGGTGCAGAAGTTTGGATCTTCGTTCGCTCGGCGACCGCCCTGCGAAGTTCCCAAGATCGATTCCTTTCACTTCTGATGGTCCCCATGTGGCCATACGCAGGTGGGTAGAAAAGTTGTAGAAATATATACTGTACATAGACTATATATATATATGAACATGTTCAGATATTATATATATGTGTGTAGTTAAATAGGGGATGAGTCAAAGCCTGGAGCCCCAGTCCACCATGTAGCTCGTTTTGTGACCCACTTAGTGCAGCGCGGATATTCGGTTTCACTGGGCTAGAGGTACAATACCGTTTTTGTATAGATTGCATTTGTGTGTATTTCAGCATGAAATTAACTTTCTTATATGTGTGTATGGTTCGCACGTTATGTAGATACGTTCCTACTCTCTGGTACCCGTCATATGACGAAGGGCCTAGAGAAGCGCAGACACGGAGCGCAAGTCACGTCGGCAGGTTAACAAAGGTATCCAGGTTTCCATCCACTGCCATATAATTATGCGTATAATTGTTACCGGGTAGCCTGCTTAGACATACCTGTAACCGTGTTTTAACCGTTTTAATGCCACAGCGGCAGACGTGCTTTATCTTTGGTTTCTTTCGATACGCAACCCACATGAAAACCCTATAGGTGTTTGGTCCCATAGCACTCCCATGCACTCTCGAAGTTAGTGATTTTGTGTTTTTAAGCGCATTCCGTTGGAGTGGCGTGTTTGGCCACCATGTTGGCCGCAAGCCACCAGGATATGGTGAGCTGCTTGGCAAGATCGACCTTCAGCCATGGCTGGGGTTCCTGGAAAGCTTCAGGTCAGAACCACCCATCCGAAGCCCATCCGAAGCTCGTGGTGTCCCATGACTTGCTCTTGCTATTTGGGGAAAGCCTGAGACCATGTCCATTTCTATTAATTTGTTGTTGACAGCTCTCCGAATGCAACGACAAGTAGTCGACCAGGTGCAGTTGTTGGACTGAAGAACATGTTGAAAGGTGCTGATCCTGCTGATGTCTAGGGAGGTGGTGAGAACATATGGACTTCACCCATGGATCCGGATTTTGGCGCACAACATGACGCGGGTTCCTGGTTCCTATAGAACTGGTGAGACAAATAATTCGCAACATCAGAAGCCAGTGGATGAAGTGTGCCTGCGACCTCCACCTTTCGCACTGCCTGAGGTATCCAAGCCTCCGAGAACTCTTTGTCGATCGTCTCCACGTGACCACCAGCCTGTCGGGGGACCTGCTGCTAGGTGGTTTGGGTATGTTTGGGTGCGGACGGGGTTCTTCGGCACCTCTCTGAAGCAGCAGTGGTGCTGAGGACCGAACACCCTTTAGACTGACATAGCCCGCATCCACCAGAAGAAGACGATGCCGCTGGCTGATGACGATGACGATGATGACTCAATGATGACAACGAGGACCAGGACGAACGAGGACGAGGACGAGGACGAGGAGGAGGAGGAGGAGGAGGAGGACGACGACGACGACAAAGACAAAGAAGAAGAAGAAGAGGAGTGTTATGATGATCGATGATGATTAATCATGATCAATGATGATGATCGATGAACATCAATGATGATGATCAATGATGATGATGATCATGATGATGACGACGACGACGACGATGATGATGATGATAGTCTTCAAACCGACAGGGGCCGTTTCAGTGATTTTGTTGGGAGCGAGTCGGGGGAAGGGGATGTGTTCACAGGCTCCCTCACATGTTTTTTCTTTTGCTGGTGGGCAAAGACGCGGTGCGGGGATTGGATCCATGTCAGAGTCAGCAACATCAGAATCACTACACTACAGCTTCCTGTGAAATTCATCAGCATTGGGAAGGCATGCTGCAGGAAACAAAAGGATATAAAAGGATGATCCATGGCTGGTTACGAGCTGGAGTAGAAGCGGGAGTGTATTGAAGATTGTTCTTTGCCTGTTTCAGCTCTTGAGGTTTCAGACCTTGCTTGCCTCGACACTCCTCAGACCCGCTTCACACCACCACCACCACCACCACCACAACAACAACAACAACAACCACAACCACAACAACAACAACAACAACAACAAACAACCCCAACTCACAGCAGTTGCTTTGGATTCACCCTTCGCCACCGGAGTCGCTTTGGCAAGGTCTTCGCACGGCTGCTTGGAAGCGCTTCGAAGCCTTCGAGGTGGGGTCGGAGCGTGTCCGGGAACGGGCGAACGGTTTCGGTTGACACGAACGGTATCTTTGGAAGACTGACCTAGACTTGGCCGATTTCGCTTGGATTCTGGAACTGTGGAGACTTGGTTTTCAATCAACTCTTAATTGGAGGAAGGAGTAGAGAGAAAGAGAGAGGGAGAGAATCTTTCGAGCATGTTCAAGGTTTGTTTGTGACGTGTGCAGAATGGATGAATGGATTGGCGTGGGCAATGTGGGCCCTTCGAACTGACAAATTCCACACAGCTTCGCGGCCAAGACGGCCACGATGGAGCTCAATGATCATTGTTTTGAAGGCTTTGGAGAGGAAGGAATAGTAGCGATTCCAGGGATTTGGTCGGCAATCCAGATGCAGGAGATCCGGGACATCAGTTTTCCTTTGGCAAAGTTGATGTAGACATATTATTAATGTACACTAAAAATTCTATTAATTCTATAGATACGACCCAAGCGGGAAAGATGAGTTCTGCCAGTGCAGCCCTCCGTCAGGTACAGCTTCCTCAGAAGCCAAGAAGCTCATGAAGCTTGTGGCAGGCGTGCCAGATTGACTCGGAAAACTGCTCAGCAAGTACTCCTTTCGGATTAACATGGTCCCTCAACACCACCAGGCTGTACAGGACAAAAATAGATGATAATTATATAATAGTCTACCCGTGGGCTCAGAGCCGATGTGAGTCCACACGGAGCTATAGATTTCTCGTGATGTCTCATTCCAAACGCAAGATGTTTCAGTTTGCTAAGCTCGCTAAATCCTTTAGCGACGATCTATTTGCAAGACACCAAGCAAAACGCAAAAAGTCAAACAGGAGCGACTTTTCGACTTTTCGTGCACTTTTCGACTTTTCGAGACTTTTTGACTTTTCGACTTTAGTCCCGGTCCCTAGTCATGCGATGTCATGCGACTGGTCGTTCGATCGGCTGTTTTCCAGACATCTCCAGCCGTGTCCAAGTGAGTCAGCATCGAGCAGGAACGCCTGAGAGAGGATCTGGAGGTCAAAACACGCAGCCCCGATGACCAAAAAAGAGACGCCCGCCAAAAGGACTCGGCAAGCCCCGGGACCTCTTTTGGCGGGTGACTCTTTTTATCATCGTTCTCTTTCGTGCACTTTTAGACTTTTCGCGGTCGAAACAAAAAGTTCGGAGAGCAAGTAGATCCAGCTCACACATTTAGCAACCACAGTCATTTTGCCGGGCCAGATTTTGGTTCCACTGCAGGTCGCCACCACTCCGCATGATGGTTCGAGGGTTAGATTGACACTGGGATGATGGCGCTGGAACAGAAGGTTTTTTTTTTGCACGGGTAAGGGCGCTATGTGTGCCGAGAGGCACAAGTCACCATGGCGCTGGAACAGAAGGGGGTTCTGACCTTGGTTTAGTTTATAGATTTTTGGAGGGGGTTCGATGATTTCCACGTCCTTGCTGGATCCAGACTATTGGGTAGTTTCGCTTGACAGTTTTTCCGTCCTTCTCAATCTCCTCAAGCTCCTGCCCAGGCCTACTCCTCCAGCTCTACGACATGGTTCGAGCTGATCCAGCATCTCATGAGGCTTGCGCGGGCGACGAAACGCGAGTGGGTGCCAGGCGAGCAATGCTCACCGGGCAGCCTCCCATCCATTTTGGGTGCCAGGGCTCTCATCATGCTGAAATAAACCCACCATCGCTCACCCGTATTGCTAAACCAATGGGCCGCTAACCCAATGCATGTGAGCGGTCACCTTTTGCATGCGGTTTTTCTCAATATGTGACATGTGTTTCTCACACCTATACTCACATTTTCACATCAGAGTTTTCAGTCCACGTTTGTGTTTATGTTTGGCGTAAAGACGCGGCTAGCGCTGAAAGATGCTGAAAGCATCTCCGCATGGACGCCCAGAACACATGGGAACAAGCGCATCCAGGGAGCTCCAAAAGTGTGGCCTTAGCCAACCAGTGACTGGAGAACACCCCTACCACCCTACCCGACCTCCAATACCCTGGCCTCCATCCCTTCAATTCTTAGGTGGAGCTTTCCGCCTTGCGCAAGGACGACGCGGGAAGTGGAAGCCAGTGGATTGAAAGCGCAGTAGGCGCCGTAGTTCTAGATGGCACGTGAAGTCTTTAACTTCCAACTTGAGTCGAACCTTCAGAGCTGTGAAACAAAATACTGAACTGCAGATCTTTGTATGGGCAAAATGTTTGCATTTGAGGACCCAAGCAAAGAGCTGCCCGTTGTATCTTCTAGACATGCCCATCGAGCCACGACCTTTGCCATACCAGCACATTTGCAGCAGGGAATTCTGCTGTCACTCTTTACGCCAGTTGAGCTCACACATCTAGCACCTGAGCATGGCTGCCATAGCTTACCTGTTGAAAGTGATCAGCATTTTGTCTACCAGGAGGAGCTCCTGCCAGTGCTTCATCAATCGGAGCTTCGTGCGCAACCTTGGTGAAACCTTGGTGGGCTGGGACTGAGCAGGTTGGAGCGCTAGGTTTCAATCGCAGTCTCGCGGCCTGCGACGCCTCAGATGATATAGGAAATGGATGGAAATGGTATGAGTTGATATCTACTACTGTTCTCTACTGTTAGGAAATAACTGTTCTTTCTTCTACCCTCATTACAATAAGGAATCTAACTAATGGTTATACTGTTCTATCTACTGTAGGACTTCTGGGGTCACCGTGCGGTGTTCCTTTTCGGGGTGCAATGAAGGCGAAAGTTGGTAAGCAGATCCCCGGTCGCGGCGGCATAGATTCCCTTACATGGCTATAAGTCTGTAAGTCAAGATCTCCAGACTTGTTCAACTGGACTTGGTAAACTATTCACCTTGAAGGGTAGGGTGATTGGAACATTTGCATGCTCACAGGAGAGAAGATCATGGCAACCTCCGATCTCCAACCCGCTTCCACGCGGCGTTCGTTGCTCAACTTGGCCCAAGCTCCCGTGTCTGAGAGAGGCTCTCTGCACGGGCCATGGCAACGCCATCGGTGATCGGCTGTCCACAGATGGGCGCCACCGAGGAAGGGACTCGCGGCCGATGGTCGGCAGAGCTCAAGGTGGAGGGGATGACTTGCGCAGCATGCAGCGGTGCGGTCGAGAGGGCTTTGAAGCAGATGAAGGGCGTGAAGGAGGTGTTGGGCAGTGGGAGCATGCACACCGTAGCCATTTCGCTCGCCTTCCTGCAAAAATATTGTAGGGGATCCACAAGAAAAGTCAGAAGTCCTGCTTCTCTCCAGGTTTGTGATGGAGTATGATGAAGTTCAAGCGCTTCACGGCGCACTAAGCGTGGCATTGCTTTGGCAATAACCCATTTTATATACCACTCAGATTATATAAGACTTGTGTATTTATACATCAAAAGTGGCCAGCACAAAAAACTGTTCCTTGCAGTGAAGCCGATTTCATGAGCCAAACCACTGTGGTCGCAGTTCTGTTGCCCTTCCACTGTTTGTAGTGACTTCATGTGTCTTCTTCACCGGTGTCCTGCGTCAGAAAGGTGGAGGTGAACTTGCTCCGGGCCCGTGCCAATGTGACCTTCGACGCGACAATCTCCACTGAGCAGCTTGCCGAGGAGGTCGAATGCACTGGCCGCTTGGAGTAGCTGGGAGTCAGCCAGGGGCGGTGCTTTTTGGGGAAGCCCAAGTCCCAAGTGCCGGAGGGAGAGCCATAGAGAGCCCAAGAATGCGTGGTTTCCTACAAACAATTGTTCCTTATGTATCCTTATGTCAGCTAAGCTTTGTAACCTGAAACACTCCCACCCTCTCAGGTGGATCCACTGACTTGTAGGATTAAGATTGATAGAGCAGTGAAACCACTAGGTCCTGTTACACTGAAAAACTGGATCACTTCCAGTTGTTCAGTCCAAGTCAAACACATCAAACCCCCTTGGTCCCCAGGCTTCGACGCCAGCGTCCTCACGGTGACCGACCTGACGATCTCTGACGCCGTGCGTCGCGTCGAGCTGCGCGTCGAAGGGATGACCTGCGCCGCCTGCAGTGGCGCTGTGGAGCGGGCACTGAAGGCTCTGTCGGGCGTGCTTGACGTCCAGGCGCGATCGACGTCCATGCTGGGACAATGTGGGACACGGCATGGTGGAAAACACAACGCTTGACATGGTGGGTTGAGACCGAGGACAAAGACACGAGATGTGACAAGCAGATTGGCGAAACAACGTCAACTCATGCAAATGAATCACATCCTGCACTGTGTGTGGATCACCTGCGCCGAAGAACGACCTCGTAAACCTCGTATATCCAGGTGAGCCTCCTCCGCAGCAAGGCAGTGGTTCGTTGTACAGTAGACGCTCCAAGCGCCGATGCCATGGCGGATGAGGCGGAGCGGCAGATGGAGGGATGGATTCTTCACCCTGAGTCGCCGGGGATTTGTTGGTTGTTTGAGAGGGAAGGGGGGGGGGGTTTGACCACCCTTGTGGAGGAAAACCGGCCACATCTTGGGTAGTGGATGTTTATGGCCCACAAACATGTTGTCTCTTACAACTGGAAGGTGGTGACCACATGTGACCACGGTTCATGAGCTTTTTTTGCCTGCTTTAGGCAACACAATTGCCCCCAGGTCATGGAAAGCATGAGGCACAAAGAAGAAGCGCTTGTTACTTCACTATATAGCTGTTGGCCGGATTTTGGTGTATGTTATGTAACTCTCCAGCAGATCCGATAGTTTGTACTTGGCCGCTTGCACCAGGTCGAGGCTTGTGGTTTCGAAGCGAAGGTCAGCTCAGAAAATGAGGCGCTTGATCCGAATCCTGCTATGGTTTTTTTGTCAGAAGTTACGGCAAGCAACCCTCATTCAGGCCCCGAGCACGCCCCTTCTATGCATTCTTGTGAAAGCCACATAAAGGTTCCATGGAAATCCAGGAGCTTCCAGAAGGACCACGGCCCCGGCTTCAGCCGGAGCAAGCCAAGCTGCATTTACATGCCCTATCGCCCGAGGAGGCACAGGGGGCGCAAGAAGCTCGGCTAAAGATGCAGCAGTGAATCCTACAGTGGGTCTGTCCGAATTTTGGGTGTCCACAAATCTGGGTGGTGCCTCAACTAATTAGAAGTTCATTGGTTAGGTATATAGAATCTGAAAATTAACTACATATAAATGTGTATAGTTGTGTACATATATATATATATATATATCGAACGTTAACATGACACGGCAGCTTCCTTTATCGCGATCCTCAGCTCACATGTAAAATTTGATTTGGGAAAAAAATGCTGTTTGTTTGGGTGTTTGGGTCAGAGTGGGTCACGATGACGCTTAGGAGGCTTTGGAGAAGATGACAGGCATCCTCAGTGCGGCTTGGTGGTGTACTGTTTTTAATGCTTCAATGCCGGGAGGAGGCTGCTCATAAGTTCATCAGTCTCTCACCTCTTCTTGTTTCTTGTCGCTGATGTGGGTGTCACCACCGCTGACACCGCCTGTGAGGTCGTCATTTTCAGAAGCTGCTATCTTCGTGTTTTGTACAGGCCCGATGAGGCCAATCCCCGGGAGGTCCTTGCGAGTCTGACGGGCCATGGCCTTCGAGTGGATCACATCAGCCAACCTGGATCTGAAGAAGAAGGGCCAGCGCAGTCCTTGAAGGGAACCTTGGTGAAGCACGATCCAAGCATCTTCAAACATGAAAACGCGAGAGAGAAGGGACTTCTCTGGAACGAAGGTCGCTGGTCTAGCACACAAAAAGGAAGATCAATGAAGGTCATGTCCCCCAAAGAGCTCACTTTGAAGGTGCCGGGATACGGTGTTTTCTTTCAATAACTTGGCGTTTGGTGGCTTCTGGAGCAATTAGTTGTCATAAGTTATATATTATCAGGTTTATAATTGCAATAACATTGCATATATAATGGAGAATTGCGGTTGCATAGATAGATGGGAACGATGTCATTCTCATTTCTCGTGACACCCAGACTCCTTGGGTCGCCTACAGCTGAGGAGATTTGCGATGTGCTCTTCCACCCACCTTGCTGATCATCACGTTGGTCTTTCTTTTCCCACTCTGTGGCCTCCAGCGACCCCTCCAGTTTGAGCTGTTTCTGCCGGGCTTGAGGGCGGAGACCTTGTTGCTCTTCCTGCTGGCCACTCCCGTGCAATGCTATGCAGGCCGCAGGTTCCACCAAGCCGCAAAGAAAGCGCTGAAACGGAGGTCTCCGAATATGGACGCCTGACATACGCCTGACGTTCTTTTTTTCATGTTTTTGTTGGAGTCGTTTAATGTTTTTGTTTGTTTGCTTCAATGCCACGAAGTGATAGACATGGGCTCCAAAGAGATTTGGAAGGAGTCGTGGAGTCGTTGAGCGCTGAGCAGGTAGGGTGCTTTGCCCAAAAAACATTTAGGTTGACGGTTGACACATGTTGACACCCACATTTCGAGCTGTGTCCGCCGTAGAGGGACTCAGCCTGACTCTGAGACTCAGCGCAGCAAGGACGTGCTGATTTCAACCGCCACCTGTTTAGCCTATGGCCACTTGGAAGCAAGGTTTGAATGGGCAGGTTCGAGATTCTTGCTGTTTGCAGGATTTTGGGCCGGCTTTGGTCCTCGAAAAGCTAATTTTGTTGAGGGCGGTGAAAGGAAGCAATGTCCGTTTGTAAGCGCCAGTGTTCACTGGGTGAAAGTGCTGGCCAAAAAAAACAGTGTGTTTTAACTGTTTTAGACCGTCACGCAACGCGTTGAAAGTTGAAAGCTGCCTGTTTGGCTCGCGCGTCACCGGCGTCCCGAGCGAGCTTCAGGTTACTCCACCTTTGTGATGGTCCTCAGTGTGGGCTTTGCTTTCTTCGGTGAAACGCAGGACATCCAACCACTTGGGACGGGGGTCCGGGATGGGTTGGCAGTTGGCAAGCCGTTTCCAAAGTGGTCAAGAAACAACGCACAGTTGTAGGTTTTAGGCTTGTTTTTGGCGACTACGCATGAAGGATCCACACACCCACAAATTGTGGTGCATTAATTCTGGAGGGCCGCGGCCCGTTTTGTATCCCAAGAAAAAGGCGTGCCATTGCAGGAAGAGCCACTGCCCCACTTTTTTGAGACACCCTGTAGTCTCATCACAGTGGTGCTGATCGGACGTATGCTGGAAGCTGCAGCCAAGCAACGCACCACGGATTCATTGGATGAACTGGTGCGGGCCAGTCCGGCGACCGCCAGGGTCAATGGGGAGATGTTGTCCACGGAGCCTTGGATCAGGCGATTTAACTGACCAGCCGTTGTCAAGCAAGTCTGTTTACTACCATCCGTAGGTTGCGGAAAGATGTAAAGTGCAGTAAGACCGCTGCTTGCCTTGGTGGGCCCTCGACTCAGTCGTGGCATTTCCCCCATACGACTGGGACTGGGCGACAGATGGAACGAGCTTGGCCGACATGGGCTGACCCATGTCGTTTCCATGGGATACTGCTATATAAGTTGCTATATATATTCCATAGTCTTCTATACAGACATGCATTTCTATGTGCATACTGCTATATACTGCAGCATATGTATTGTCTCTTTGATGGAGGTGGTTTCCCTTTTTCAATTAAGAGCTTATACAAACACCCAAGCCGTCCCACCAGTGCTTCAAGTGCGCCTAAGCAGGCTACCCGTGTTCCACGGGCAGGCTAGGCATTCAACTTCGAAATCCCAGGAACTGGTAGCCATCGATGATATCGTGGAGATTTGGCCGGGAGAGGCCGCCCCGGTGGACGGTGAATTGCTGGACTGGTCTGGTGACGGGAACACCCCAGGAAGAGCCTTTGGATGGGGTGCCACTGCTGCTCTGATGCTTGGGTTGCAGATGTTAAGCTTGAAACTGGGCCGAGGACGTTCTTTGCCCCTAGATCCTCTCATAGCGCCTTTTCTTGCCCAGAGTAGAATTGAATTGGGTCAGCCCTCTACATCCATTAAGGGGCGGAGCTGCCTTGGTTAGGGTGTGAGCGTTTCGCCTAAAAATGAAAATAACTTGTACATATATATCTATCTAAAATACATATATGTATTCATTTAATTTGTATATATACACACCAAAAACAGCTTATATCTTTTAGTGGTCATTTTGAAGAAGTGGAGGGACTATGGATTCAGCACCCACTCGAACATGGCCATGCTTTGGGGCCATTGAGCAGACTCCATGTTTTATCAACGTGACGATCTTGATTGTCTTTGAACAGATACTGGAAGCCCGGATGAACATTGATAGGAGGCCCTGATTTGCAGCCATCCACGTTGTTTCTTAGCGGTGCAATGCGGTGCAGGGGGTTGCCTTGGATGCTGGCAAACCTGTAAGACATTGTAAGATGCATGTTCAGCTTGAACTTAGCGGTCAGCTCCCTTCAAAGTGGTACCCCATTGCTGCCAACAAACAAAGCACACTCTTCGAGGTGGAGGGCCGTCTAATGATAGACGACTTGGTTTTAATATCCCTGAATTGGATCCCTAATTATATTAATGCAAGAGGATCTTAACAACATAGAGTCAATTTAGGGATAGCCCTCCTGAATTTGTCCAACTCTTCACAATTGCCTCGATGCGCACGCGCGCGCGTGCGGCACGTGTGTTTGTACGAGGTGGGTCAGCACACTAACCATAGAGGACCACGGTTAGATGTGGAATTGACCATGGTGTCACCGACCATAGAACACTATTTTCACCATATTCATGGTGAAAGCAGCATGTAAAATGAACATCACTTAGGTGTGCAAGGTGTGCGTCCGTGACTGGCGACGTCCGTGACTCACCAAGGACGGCCTTCGATGAGTCCTTGCTCACCGGTGAGAGTCGCCCGGTCCCAAAGAATCCCAAGGACCTCGTCATCGGCTGCAGTCGCCATGTGGGCTCGTACGCTTCGCGCATCCGCGTCACCAGGTGGGGGGCTTGGGTCAGTTGAAGTGTTATGTCATCTGAAGTGGATAGATGGCAGTCTGCGTGAGTTTTGGAAGTCTGTCAGTTTCATCAGTCATATCTAAGTTTTGGGACCCATCCTTCCTATCAAAAGGTGTCGGGATGGTACCCAGCAGTGCGCAGGCCCAAAGCCACCTGAGGCTTATGATGTTAGGTTGCAGACTGCACGCAATCACCTTCGTATAGGACTCGCGGTGTCTTTGATGAGGCCCTGGGCCCCAGTGTTGAACTGGTCATGTTTGTGTCGTGGCTCCACTCCAGCACGACGAGCGAAGAAACAAAGCCCCCAAACGACGAGCATGTCAGTAGGGGCTTGACCTTCTACTGAAAGCAACTGAAGCACTTGGTATTTCACCACTCACTAGCAGTATGCGTTTTTGGCCTCTGGTGAAGAAGGCAGTGGATGTTTCTCCCATTTGATCCCCTTCACTGCCTTAACCCTCTGGGCTGGAGCTGAAGTCACAGCCTTCTCACCTTCGCAATCGAAACCCCCTCAGATGCCCCTCAGACGCGGTCTCCGTCAGGGTGGGCACCGGCACCGCCGTGGCACAGATCGTGCAGCTCGTCGAGCGCGCGGCGGCCACGGCGAGCAGCGCACCGGCGCAGCGCCTGGCGGACGCCGCGGCGCGGATCTTCGTGCCCTCGGTGGTGCTTTTGGCTGCCTGGCTTCCATCATGCACCGGTACACGTGTGCCATGGTGTGGGGGTAAGCATCGGTGGGGCGTTGGGGGGGGGGGAGTGACGATTTTGTTGTGGTTTGTTTGTTGGTTATTTGTAGCGGAGGGAAATGTTGAAGTTTACATTCATTTGTTTCGCCCATGGCGGATCGCCGCGGAATCTAATGGAATTTGAACAAACATGAAGTGCATTCCGCATATTCCGCCGTGTTTTCGTGCATTTTAAGTTCAACAGCAGGGTCCCTGAAGCTGTAGAACTGTAGAACTTGCAGCTTGGAGGTCCCCATCATGCCCGGGCTTAGGGAACCCATGTTGCAGCATTCAGAACGGCTAACGAAACATGTAATAAATAAAAAAAATAAACCGAAATTCCATGGGTGTTTGTTAGTTACCTTGTTTGGTCTCCATTCTTAGGAAATCTATCAGGAAGTCAGGAAGTTGACGTTTTATGTTTAATTGTTTGTTTTCGAGGTCCCTCATCACAAAATTGTCGTCATTTATGCAATTCCAAGGCTGCATTGACGGCGCTGGTGTGGTTTTGCATGGTCAGCACAGAAACGGTCCACTTGGACACTTGGATAGAGACCACAGGGTGGTTGGAGCGGGGGCTCTGCAGGTGCCAAGAGCATTGAGCTGGCACTATCGAAGGATTGATGAAACTGTTGCTGCTGCTTCACAAATGTGAAAAGCAATTCACTTGCTCAACCATTAACCATCTATCCATGTCTTGTAGGTATACTCACGGTGGGGTAATGTGGGAGGTCAAACGCCCTGCATAAACGGAGGTCTTTCTGTCTTTCGGTGTTTTTCAGCGCGGGGTCATCGGATCGAGTCTCAGCTCAACAGCCAACACCTGGGGTGCTTGTAGATGCCATAAGATGCCCATTTACTCCAGGCATGGTTTGCATGCTGAAAGGTGGCCCGAGGAGGGGCAACTCCCACAAATCTGACCACGAAACACCCTCACTAACAAACCTAATTAGCCATCTCAGCCACCCATCCATCTCTAGCAACTCATCCGGCTCTCTCCATCAAAACCGGCACCTCGCGCGACCTTGCGCCGTTCTCCAAAAAATCCACGCATTTCGAGGAGAACAAGAATCATCACGGGGCATTCCTCACGTGTGAGCAGATGCTTTTTGCCATGAAATTCGGCCTCTCAGTGCTGTTGGTGGCCTGTCCTTGCGCCATGGGACTGGCCACGCCAACCGCTGCCACTTGGCGCAGATGACGAGGGTGTTGAACGGTCGGCTAGCCAAAGGATGATGCCACAATCACAAGCAAGTGTTGAAGGGAGTGAATGAGGGAGTTGAGCAACCAGAATGTCAGTGGTCACTTCCAGCCAGCTTGGTGGGAATTCAGTATCTCACTTTAAGTGGGTTTGATGCATGTACCTAATGGGGCGGAGGAAGGTTCTTTGGACCAGACCTCAGACGTGGATCGCAGAAGGCAGGATGTGAAAAGTTTGCTGGGTCAGCATGAGGATCGGTCCCTTTCTTCCCTCACATCCAGCCCCTTCTCCGTCCGTGACGGTCACGTGAGGGTCACGACGGTCCAGCCGCAGGTGATGGTGTCGACCGGAGTTGCTGCTCGCCGCGGAGTTTTAGTGAAGAGTGCCGCCTCCCTGGAACTGGCGGCACGCAAAGGTGGCGCAGTGGTCTTGGACAAGACGGGCACGTTGACCATTGGTGGCCTAGCCTTGCAGTCATGAGCAGTGAGAGAATAAAGCCTATAGAAGTGGACCAACAGAGAAAGCTCAAAAGTTTTGCCACCAACATTTCACCCTTCTTCACTTCCCAAGCCAAGAAGCACAACTGACCCACCACCTAACACCCCCCCCAAATCTCCAGATTGTTTGAACCCATCCCCTTGGCCAAACTAAGACTTTGCCCATCAACATTCACCCCCAGATCATCCTAATCCCATCATGCCCCATCCATTTCACCCATAGGTCGTCCTGGCATGGTCTCCATGGCCATTTGTCAACGCTCCGCGGCGCCCTGGTCCGCCGTGAGCGCTTTGGGCCGCACGGCCTCTCCCTCGCCGCCCACCACTCCGAGCTTCATCGAGCTGGTGGAGCTCGCGGAACCGGGACCGGTCGCCTTCCACGGGGCACACTCGGAGGACGGAAATGGATGCATCTATATATATATATATACATAGAGATCCGGTATATAATATACATATATAATTATAGTTTTTGTATTACTATATATTACTCATATGCATGTACAGTTATACTATTGTTATTGCATGTTAACTATATTTATATTATACATTGCATGATATGAGTGGCGTGAGTGGCTGGATGATTCTGTTTATAGATCCTTGCAACAGCCATGGCAAACGAGACGTGCTGAGATGACTGGCTCATATTAGATCATGCATGTGATCCATATTGATATCTGATATCTGCGTGTTTTCTTTTTGGCTTGACACCGTCTATACCAGTTATCTACCCGGATCTGTTCGACCAGGTCCTGGGTCTGTGCGTTCTCCTTTGCGCCTCAGCCTTTCGCTCCGAGCACCCCTTGAGCCGCGGCTGTGAAGAGGGCGCCAGAAAGCTGGCGGGCTGCGAAGCCAAAAAGCTTTTGGAGCACTTGGAGGTGTCCGACTTCCAGGTGCTCAATGGGACTCCGGGCGTGAATCAAGCGAAGGCGAACCGCTGGAACCGGGACGCGCTGCTCGCAGCGACCGATAGAGTTGAAGAGACCCACCGGGAGCGCGGGAACAGCCGCAAAGCTCTAGGACCCTATAGAACCTCCATGATCGCCGATCAGCCAGAAAGGACAGGGAGGCGGACTTCTTCCACTTTAAGGGTCGTTCATAACAAAAAAATATTTTGACGTGAAGTCCTTACCAACACAATTGGTCGATAGATTTACATGCCGTCATTCCGCCATGGAAGTTCCCTGCACCTTTGGACAACACCGTTTCACAGCGAATGGTGCGTGGGTTTCTGGTCTGTCCATCCGTTTTGAACCGCCCACCGCAACGCCACCACCGCCCTGAGCGAACGCTCTTTGCTTTGGCGCTTGGCATGTGAAAAAAAACGGTCCAAGGATTGGAGTGAAATTTGCCCTGGGAGAGCTCGAGGTGACGGTGGGTCATTTGGATTACCTCCAGAGCACCAGCGAGTTGACCGCGTGGGCAGAAGAGAAGAGGAGTGAAGCGTGTACAATTGTAGCGATTCAAGTGAATGGTACCTTGGCTCGTCCTTGCCCGTTTCTGAAAGACTCCATACATGCAGCAGGTGGACCCAGACATAACTTTCAAACTCCGCAGGAGCCCACAAGAAATCGGGAGCCACTAGTTCCATCTAGCTCTCTTCAACTCCTGAGGTGGTTGTGGAGGTGGCGTTTAGAAACAGTCTTAATTTGTCTTGCCGTGTCAGCCCGCGGACGTGGCCACAGCGAGGACCCCGTGTCCAACACTCTGACAATGTATAAATATATATATGTATGATATAGATATATATATATAGTGGTTGCAAGAAGTAGATGGCCCTGGCACCCCAAGATGTCTTGTATACGGGGGTCCGTATAAACCATGAAACTTGGGGGCCCTTGCGCCACCTACTCTAAAACCACGATATACAATTGTCGTATGCACATTGTATATACATAAATTCTGGGCCAATGGGTTGGCCTCTTTCGATCGCGCGTGTGTATGTGTGTGTGTGTCAACGCCTGTTTCTAGGGCTTTCACACATTGCAGGTTAATTCAAAGCCACTCAAACTCTTTTAAAGGCAGGGGGCACGGCGGCCGTTCACCTAGCCGTGCTAACAAAGCTATGGTGTTCGGCTGGAGGAGATACTGGACGCAGTATCTTGTACCTGCAAATTTTAATAGTAGTCACACTCAATTTCACCTTTGTTAAATAGTTCTGTTGGACCGACCCAGCACTCTTACAGTTCCTGCGAGTCAAGGTCTAGTTCCTGCAGCGGGTAACGTAATCACAGAGTGGGCTACCTTCACTGACTCGGCTCTTGCGAGCATCAATCTAAGTGTGTTGAAGAGCCCGCCTCTTGGCCCAGTTGTTTTTGGATTGTGGCATGTTTTCGGATGTAATGCTTGCAACTGCCCTTTTGCTGAGACCACCGGAGGAGGCCTTTCTATACCCTTTGTGCACATATACTTAGACATAGACATATATCTCTACGTGATGAGGGAATCTGTTGCTTGTGCGGCCCAATCGCCTTGGTCTTGGTTGGAGTTTGAGGGCTTTCCCTGCCCCACTGCAAATTGGTCTTTTCTCCTCTCAGTGGCTTCTCTAATTTCCCACCGCCATCATCATCGCCATATCGCCATCAATTGCCACCATCATCATCATGATCATGATGTGGGACTGAACCGACTTGAACAGTTGAAGTCAAAGATCAAATATTACCAGTATTTCCTGTTTCTTTTCAATTGTGTGAACTCGTTTTATGCCTGTAGGTGATTTTAATCTGGTGTCCTTGCTTGGCCCCAAGACGGCTGTAGAGCCGATGACTGGGCCGAGGTGTGGTTTTGGGCATGGCGGCTTTACGGGATACGTTGCAGCCGAGTTGTCGGCAAGTGATCAGCCAGCTACAGGAAGCAGGCTGAGTTGGTTGGAGGGTCCGAATCCGCAGTGGGAGATGCCCAAAAATATCATACCTGCCATGGGCCCCCGGTTTGGGGTGTCTATGAAGAGGCCCTTGGAGGTTAAAGGGTGTCCATTAATCAACGAGGTAGGTGTCTCAGGAGGGTAGTTGGCAGCAAGGGGCGAAGTGAATGGAAGACACATGGTGTCCCATACACATCATAATACATCACAGGTAGTTGAGAATGAATCATGAGAGAAAACCACTTCCAAGCATGTACATAGAGATAAGATGGTAGATAGGACACACATACAGTCATCTCGAGCTGGAGATCCATGCACGCCACCCTTTGTTTTCTTTTCTCTCTCTCTATGTATATCGATCGATAGTCTCTAAAAGTCTGTCTAGTCAATTAGATTAGATCAAACATAGTCCAAACAACACAACAGCACTGGATCGGAGAATCCAGGTGAGGAGGTTTGGATGTGCACGGGGGACCACAGCATCACTGCTGCTGCGGTGGCCGATGAGCTGGGTATCCCAATGAAGCATGTGACCTGGCCAGGTGGAGGCTCGATGCCGGGGGAATCAATAGGAACCCTATGGCGGCCTATGGGCATCTATGTGTGTTGTTTTTTCTTCTCAGACGTTTCAGGTCTTTCTATCATATAGAGGCGGCATAGTCGACCTAGGGTAGGGTCTATAGGTGGACCCTATCCTATACGTTCTATCGCTCAGTCGTGGGTGCCATCATCCACGATCGCTGGGCAGCATCCACGATCCACGATCCGCACTCGGCACTCTCAGGTGAGAGCCAACTGTCTCCCTGCCCACAAGGCTGCACTTGTGGCAGAGTTGCAAGCTGCGCGCAAGAGGGCCACTGGGCATTGGACGAATGGGTCAGTTGAAGAATGTTCAAGCAACGTGCTCAAGCTTGGTACTGCAAGGGTCAGTTTCTGTAGAAAAATACATGCATTCCACCATATTCAACACATTCCCATGATTTCTCATGACCTATTCTTTTGCCTGTGTGCTTATCCCGAACCATATTTGACCCAACCATAGCATGATCCAGCACAAACCAGCATTCCCAAGCCCATAGACTCCATGGCGCTGGGCCTGCGCACCATGTCTTCCGCCCCTCAGGTGATCTTTGTCGGCGACGGCGTCAACGACGCCGTGGCGCTCACCAGCGCCGAGGTGGGCGTGGCCATCGGCGCCGGCGCACGGCTCACGGTGGACGCCGCCGACGTGGTGCTCGTGCGCTCCGATCTCCAGGCGCCGGGACCGGACGGAGCGCGTGCCCTTCGGGGGGTGGGGAGTTGGCTTTTTGCGGGGATTGGAATGGAGTGCGAGCAGTGGGGCGCCCCAAGCAATTTGAAAGTCGGGGGGGTAACGTCTTCACAGTACGGAAAGAAGGAGATTGGCTCAATGAGCGAATGATCATGATTCTCATTGCAAACATGGTACATAAAGGTACATATACCTAGAACCCATTGGACACCTGTTTTGATAGGACAAGACCATGTTGGGGTCGATCAGGTTCTAGGTATGAATTTGGGGAGGCCGTTTGGAATCATTATAGAACACTCAAACTTCGATGCTTTCTTTTGGGACTCATATTTGCTCGTCCGACCGGTTCTGTGGGTTCGATGTGGCAGGAGCTGCTGACGGTGAAGCAATTGGCAAAGGCCACGGTGTGGTGCATCAAGCGCAACTTCGCTTGGGCCTTCGTCTTCAACTTGGGCATGACCGAAATTAGAATTCGGAGGTTCAGCATTCATAACTGCATGATCCTGAAATGTGTAAACCTGGGTGTGTATAATGTTAGTTTCTTCAGCCGGTTCTATAACCACGGTTGCTTTTCAGGTCAGTTGGACGTTGGAGGGTGATTGCTAAACGTCCAGGATATCTTCGTGTTCACGCTTCTAATAGCTTCAGGTCATTCATATATATATATATATATATTTATTTATTTTATATAGACCGTAGGCAGGTGCTAGTCGAAGAGGACGGATACATCAACATGGATCAATTCATTAATTGGTGGTGGGTTCGTCCGAGCACATCCATTCGTTCCATGTCGGATGTTGCAACCGAGCCGGACGGCTTCCAACGGCACTCGGATGGTCAACCATGGCACATCGATTCAACAGGGTGAGCAGTTCGTGGTTACCAAACATCAACTTGCACTGTCTACCTCTTGATCCACGAAAAGGCTCCGAACTGTGTGTCTCTGTGTGTGTGTGTGTGTCGACACAATGATGATGTTGCATGTGATCTCCCTGGAACTAACATGGAAGATGGAAGACCAATGAAGACCCTGTTCCTTTACAAACGGGGGATTTTCCGATTTTCCACTTCCATGGGAGTTCCGCGGAGTGGCCCGCAGGATCCCCCTGGCCGCCGGGGTGCTGCAGCACCGGGGCATCCACTTGCCACCGGCCGCAGCCGCCGCAGCCATGGCCTGCGACTGGGAAGCAAGCCAGCCCGGGCCGCGGGGCCACGACGGGGCGAAGGAGGGAAGGTTTTGCTGGGTCAGAATGGAGGGAAGGACAAGGAGAGCGTATTTCAAGACCCTGGACTCCTGGACTCCGATTTTGAACAACATTGGTGCGGGGATATTGAGTTGCATGCGCAATGTCCTGCTGAGAACTACTTCTGATCGGAGGACCCGGTAGTACCGGGAAGAATGAACGGTCCGACATGATAGCTCAGCTTAACTCATAATCCATCATGGGGAAGACCCTTTCATGACTGTAATTAGCCTGGATGCTTGGAGTGAAGGATTTCCCATGCCAACACTCCCGCCCTAGCAAGTCAGTTGCCGAATGAGAACCCCAGAGATTTAGTGGAACCAATGACTGTGCCAATCTCTTGGTCTGAACTTCTGTGCAACAAATCCTCAAATTTTTGAAAGGCATTCTTAAATTTGACCATTTGGCTCCATTGGACAAGGCTCTTCCATCATGGTGGTCTCCTCCTCCTTGATGCTCCGTGGCTTCCGCCCGCGGTTCATCACTGACGAGCGGACGGGGTTCGGGCGCATGGGCGCACGGAGAATGAAGAACATCGAGCGACACCCGCTGACAGCTGATAGCCCGCATGGAGACGTCGTGTGAACGCTTCAGAAGAGAGCTGTAAAGTGCACGACGCTTTTCAGAGTTTCACCCTCGTTGTTGAAGTTTTGGCTTCAAATTCACTTTTGGGGTGGGCACGGACTTTGGGAAAGCACATTTAGACAGTTCAGAGTTCATGATCATGACTGAAAACGACTGTGGTGAATGTCCCTGACCGCTTCAGATTATTGATTTAGGTCCTTTGGTCGCTTAGGTGCCACGTACATGGTGCGGCACAGAAAATTCATCCGATCACCGCCTGCCTGCCGGTCTCTTCGAGGGCAGCGGAGTGATCGGAATCCACATCCCGTCGAATGAATGGGGGTGTTTTTGCTGCCTACGGGAGGAGCGACGGTCCCCCAACGGGGCAAAGGTGCCTGGTAGACCGAGGGAAGTGACGCCCTGCGGTCCACCGACAGAGGCTTTTCTGCCATCCATGAAACACGCTTGGGTTTTGGAGAAAAATGAGGAAGAGGTGTGAGAGCGACACGCTGACAGCAGGTGAGTAGACTAGTGGTCCAGTCACAGTCATGTCAACGCTAGCTCAATGCTTATGTCATGAGTCACATTGTGTCACGAGTCGAGCGAAAGATGCTGAACATCTTCAGCCTTGTTTGCTCAGGATGGCTTTCAGTTTCCAGCTGCATGTCAGAGGCTCAGCACATCTCAGAGCACATCTCAGGACAAGATGCCACGGCGCACCTTAGAACCCTAAACCCTAAACCCAACCTGTCTAGAGTCTAGTGTTCTTTTCAATTGTGATGATGGAGTTCCCGATGCTGGCACGCACACACTCTGACACTTGTATTCAGTGAACTCAGTTACCACGTTGGGAAGAAAGGCGGTGGAACAGCATGGCGGAAAGTCCGAGACAATTGTAGGTGTTTCAACAAGTTGTTGGTCAAGTCTGCAGAGCGATCGATCGGCGCGGCTCAGCTGCAAGACAACGCGGCTGCAAGAAAGGGTTTAGGGGGAGGTATCATGCAAGGACCATGAAAACAAACCAGAAGAA